TATCCGCCAAAACTACAACACAAGCTGCATTTGTTCAGGCAATCAACACTAAAGCAGCAAGGTCAGGCGAGAGTACGCGGTCGTGTGATGCAACCTAGAGGCAGACTGCCCCCTACCGAAACCTCCGCAGTTGTCTACAAGATACGTTGCAATGATAAAGAGTGTAATTACGTAGAAGAAACAGGCGGAGAAGTGCAGACCCGCCTATACGAACACTGGCGGCTCGGAGACTGGACTCAAACTCACGGCTTGCAGCACACACTGGAGAGACTGGCCACGATTTCGATATTTAAGGAGCAACCATCGTAGGCTGAGGAAACTCAGAAGCCGAAAGTCTGACGCTTGAGGCATGATACTCAGACGCTAACTCCGTCAACAGGCATGTAGACCTCCCCGCGGCCTACAAAGTATTACGCCATTATGTGAGCAAAGGGCGGAACAAGGCCAAACCGAACGTAGGAACTGCAAACGAAAAGGATCCCAGAACGAGCAGGCTAGAAGAGGAGCAGGATCACCGGGTCCTCTACCGTGAGGACAAGGCATTACATGCTGTCTAAGATCCCGAACGACCGCCGAGTCCACTGACAGTTAACTAACGTATACGACTATAATTCCCCCCCCCATCTCCATCGTTTTTGGTTGATGTTTCTTATCCCTTGACGCTCTACTGACCGCTGACAGTTGACTGGCTTATGACCACTATAATTACCCTTCTATATGTAGTCTGGTACAGTTTGGTTTCTTACTTCACATATAAGGCAAGCACCCTAATACATTCACATAACGACCAAAAAGCAGATATTTTTCATTTTTGTTTTGTTGTTCAATTAACTTTTTTTGATCGAGCATCGCATTTCGTGTGTTCTTTTATAATTCGCAATAAGATGAATGAGTTCGGCGGAACATTAACTGTTTTATGCTTTCCAGCACACATTTCGCTGCTTGTCCCCGGTAATTCCTTCCGTAAAACCCTCATTACTATCATTTTTGCTTTACACGCTCTTGAGGTTTGTGGTGGCTAAGAGGGGCCTGCATAATCTACCGTTACCCGGGATATGTTTAGATTTTAGTAGCCAAATGACGATTTGAAATACAAATACGTCCAAAAACCACAATTAAATAACTTTTTGCATGCCATTAAGAGGTATTGGCAAATTTGAAGAATTCTGTTGAACCGATTGTGAAAAACTCGCTGCCTCGGTGGGAGACGAACCCACAGAGCGGGAAAGGCTTTTGCGCAGCCAACGCTCTACCATTGAGCTATGAGGCTCGCCGTGAGCTGTGAATTTAATCTCAATTGGGTCGATTTTACCCGCTCAACCTACTGATTGTATGCAATCCACCATTACGGATACAGCAAGCTGACTGCCCAGGCAGGATTTGCTAAGCAGTCATCTAGAATCCACCAGAATGACTACTAGGCAAACTTAATTATTAGGTGGGTTTGGTAGATTTGCTTACTTCAGTTGACCCAATTGTGAAAAACTCGCGGCCTCGGTGGGAGTCGAACCGACGCAGCCGTGCATGTCGTTACATGTGTGTAGAGGTTAACACACAGAGGCTCACTTCTTACGGATATGAAATAATGAACCAAGCCAGGTCCGGCTATGTACTTAAAACCCCAAACGGCTTACATAACCAAACCTTACCGCCCGCACTTCCAGGACTCGAGCCCGGTATCTTAGGCACATAAGATATATTTAATTACTTATAGGCTACCCCGACACAAAAATGGTGCCAGGGACGAGGTTGTGGTTTCCACGTCAAATTTTTGCCCAAATTCAAACGACTGTGCGTCCATCCTGTAATCTATAAGCCGATAGACGGCAGTTGCTATGAGGTAGGAGGGATCAGTAAGTACTGCTAAATGTGGCCATTTAAGAGGGAGAGAAACGGCGAAATGAACAGGAAGAAAAACAAGATTGGACATCAAAAACGCACCTCGTTATTTCGGCCCATCTCAAATCTGACCAACTTGAGAGTCGATGTTGCATTGGCTTTGCCTGAAAAGTACAAAATACACACACTCTTAAAAGGAAAAGTCTTCCGTAAAACTCTTTCGACAGTTTGGGTAACAGTTAACTGTACCCAAATGGCAGCCGAATTTCCCGGGCTAAGTGGGGGTAGGGCTTAAATGAGCGCGCAGGGTTACCGCATCTCGGAACTTTCCTAGGTGCAGGACACGACACTGACGGAAGTCACTCTTACCGACATAGAAGACGTCCTATTTGACGCAGCTAAAACTAAAATACTAAGCAGATGCGCGGAGCAAACAGGGCCATACATTTTTCTTGCTGGCTCGAGAAGGTCGATTGACTTATCCGTAGTTCTTCTGTTCCAATGATGAATTGCCGCAGAGGTGTGGAAGACCGAATGCCGACGTTTTGGTTGCCAGAGACTCGATACTGGAACATTATCACTTAGAAGAGACATCTCCTGTTGTTGACGCAATGAAAGTCTATGTATGGTTGAACACAACCAGGTGAAGATGCTGCCATAGTGGTCAGGTTATAAACAAGGACGCGGCGGTATGACCAAAACGGACATGGACGGGGTGGTGGGCCCAAAGAGCTTCAGTGTTCTGAACCGGGGTCTACACTCAACAGTAGGTGCGCGATATGGCCCTGGCACAAGTCACCATTTCCTGCATAGAATACCTCACATTCGATGCAGCTAAAAACCCAAGTACTTAGCAGATGGACTTAAGGGAGACAACTCCTGCTGTTAATGCAATGAAAGGCGGCTAGTTATAGTGGCTCAACTTATTTATCCCTGTAAACCACCACGGTATCATCAGCTCTCCAAACTTCTTACCCAAACTGAAGGTGCCGACAAAGTGGTCAGATTATAACCAAGGACGGGGCGGTAGTCCCCAAAGGACGCGGCTATTCCGAATTGGAATCTGGGCTGGACAGTATTCACCGGTGGTTTAGCGACTGTTCACGGATAACATAGGTTTGCCGATTCTGGTGAGGAGCTTATATGAAAAGACGAACATTAGTGAACGCCTGTTTAACTTGTACTCCGTTCCCATAAAAATGTAATAGCTGGGTGAGAATATACTGAAAGCCTACGTATGCTCATCAATTACCCTTCTGAATAATCTCATGGGAATTTTCGCAACTTCAAAATATAAACTAGACATTTCGGCAACACGAGCTAGTAAAATGGCTACTCAACAAAACTTGGAAACCGTTTTTTAAGCAGTTGAGGGACAAAGGGTTGGAAGGCAGATAAGGATTTTGCGCAAAGTATGAATGACTAGAAACTAGGCTGGTTACCTGGTTTGGGATAACGATGCGGCTCTAACTCCGCACCCCAGGCACCGCTACGAGGTAGGTAGGTGATGTCCACCATGGATTCGTCTGTTTCTTCATAGAGCAACCAATATACGTCTAAAAGAAATATATATATATATGTAATAGAAGTTGGACAGTTTGAAATTCTATTCGGATAGGATTCGGAAAACGGGGCCTCTCTACTTCACTGAAAGTTAGGGGCCACAGGATCCGATAAGAAGACCACCATTCCGGTCTCCCTTGTATTTGCCGGCAATAATATCTGGCTAGACTAGTGGCCGCTGAGCGCCTGCTGACGGACCTCGAGAATGAGCCCCAAGACAAAGCGGCACGAGTGAGTTCCGTTAGCGATCGGTGAACGTTCATCAATAAGTGTCAATATCTCCTCTGGCTTAAACCGGCAAGACAACGAGCCAGTGGCCCAATGGTTAGAGCGTTAGGCTTCTGATCAGAAGGTCAAGATTTCCAGCATCGGGCGGTGCACCACTTGGGGCTGGGTAGGTCTGGCTGACGACGGCTGATAAGTCAGAAATGCCCATTCCGGTCTCCCTTTTCTTTGCACGGCGAAAGATGGTTATTGAATTAAAAACATAACCCGAGGGCTGACTTTTGCTGGAAAAAATATATAGGAGGTCTGTATTCGTCGGAAAATGCGTCATGAAGCATTTGAAAAAAATAAAACAAGCAGGAACATCAAGGCACTTACTGTTGCCCGCGGAATTTGTTTCCGAACGCGGTCGCCACCAAAAGCCAACGTATCGGTCGAACTCCTCCTGAATTACGAAGGCCGGTGAGCCCGCAGACAGCGCAGCTGGTTTCAAGTATTTGTAAAAAAAAAAGAAGACAGTAAGACACGCTTGGTTGACGTAAACATGACAAAATTAAAATCTTACTGAAAGCCAGTAAGTAGAGTATTTAGATTGCAGAAAAGTGGACCATGTACCATCACGTGCTACAATACACGCCCTCTTATGATACATACTAGACTGGGATTGGGTATGACTGGCTGACGACTGCTAATAAGCCACAAATAGCCATTCCAGCCTCCTTTATCTCTGCCGGATCCACTTCATACACTAGACCGTTTAAGCAGGTTACCATCACAACGCTAATAGAAGTCAAGATAGGCGAACGAACGTTTTCGATTAATTCATCATCAGGCGT